AAGAGAGGGAGGGGGAAGCACATTCAGACTTGCAAGGTTCTGTTACTATAGCTGTTACAATAAAAGTAATCCTGGCCTACATGGCATTGGTTTCTTAGTCTGGTCTACCTTATGGGGCTGACAACTACACATTGACAACTTGGGCATCAGTAAATTGAAATGGTCTGAAATTGGACATTCTCTTTCAGAAAATCATACTATTTACCATTTAGGACATGAACTAGGTTGCTGTCATAGTTGGGAAGAGTATAGCAAAGACACTTGGGTACAATGCAGTTAATAACTGAATAATATCAATTAGACTTCATGGCAGCCCTTTAATATGATCGTTATCCAAGTTCCATCCACTGATGCAGAAGAAGAAGAGGTTGATGAGTTTTATTGTCAGGTTCAATCTGAAATCAACAGAATATTTAAGCAAAATATGGTTGGATACTGGAATGCCACAGTTGGAAATAGTAAGGAGAAAAGTGTAGCTGGACTATATGGTCTAAGAAACAGAAATGAAGCAGAAGAATGACATCAGTTTCTGGCAATGAAGTAATTTCTTCATTGCTTAAGAAAGTCTGTCAACAACCAAAATGACATCTACTGTATATACATTGATATCACCAAAGTACACAGAATTCAACTTGACTCTCTTATTAGTACAAGGAGGTCAAAAAGCTCAGTTATAACACCAAAGACATGGGCAGGGATGGACTGTGGAACAGATCACAAACTGTTCATGTGTAAGTTCCAAGTCAAACTAAAGCAGAAGAACAAAGCCAAACAGTTTCCATAAGATGCTTTTCAGCTTATACTGAACTTTTTCAAGAAGAATATCAGGAATCACTTTAAAGTCCTACCCTCATTGATAAGGAACCACAGGAGCTGTGGAGTGAAATCAAAATAAGGATGAATGTGAAAAGAGACCACCAAAGACCAAGAAACAGAAGAAACCAAGCTGAATGTTAGAACAGATAATGGAAACTGCCAAGAAGAGAAGAGAAGCCAGAGCTGAGAAAAACAAAGTTCTTAGGATGGAACTTAATGAAGAATTTCAGAGAGCTGTTAGAAGAGACAAGCAGCAGTATTATTACAGCATCTGTAAAGATACTGAAGATGGTAACAGACATGGAAAACAATGACAGTTTTTCAAAAGATCTCCAAACTCAGAAGGGGGTTCCAACCATTGGTATGCTATAGGACACCAATGAACAGATTCAAAGAAGATCAAACAAAGATGGAAGAAGTATATTGAAATTCTATATAGTAGGGATGTCAACAGCCAAGATAATCTTCTGATATTCCCTATTCACAAGAATTTCTAGTACCGTTAGATGAAGTTAGATCAGCACTCTGGTCATTACTAAACTGGAAGTCTACAGGAATTGATGGAACATATCAGAATGGTATATACATTCCATCTTCCCTTAAGCTATCAGAGCAGAAAGTACAGATATTACATTATGTTATGTCCCCATGTATGGGATATTATATGACTTCCACTTGGTGGAATAGCAATAAAGGCCTTTGAGCAGATATCCAGATGCCATGCCATGTCTATACATACAACAACTAGAATTGTAGAATTGTACTGGCAGGGGTTATCCCTATGACATTCTATAGAAGTGAATGTTGGACTTTGAAGAAGCAAGAGGATAGAAAGAGTACTGATGATTATGCAGTTTGCTGTTGGAGAAGAATCCTGAGAATACTGTGGATAGCCAAGAAAACAAACAAATGCAACAAATCAATCTAGATTTCTCACTCAAGGCACAAATGATCAGGCTCAAATTATTGTACAGTATTTGGGACACATTAAGTGAAGAGCAAGTATCTTTGAGAAGCCCATAATTCTAGGAAGGGTGGAAAGTAAGATAAGAAGAGGACGACTAGCAGCAAGGTGGATGTGCTTGATTACAGTGGCAACGTGTGCAATATTGGGAGACCTGAATGGTCAGACTGGGGACAGATCATCCTGGAGAAGGGCTGCGTCTGTGGTTGCTAAGAGTTGACAGTGACTTGATGGCACCTAATGAATCAATTAATCAATCAATCTGCTATTTACCAATGGCAAACTCATTTTCCAAGTGGTAATCCATTTATAGCCAAAATGCCTGATGAGAGAGAAAGAGAATGATTAATCAGCTGGTTTTGACAAACTCTAAGGTTTGCAAATTTTATTTGAAGAAAAATTTGTGTAAGTCCTGAGAGAGGCTGAGGAGAAGATGGGAAATGGGCTATTCTGTAAATAGGTTTGGTTGGCTAGAATCCTTAATATTGCATATCCAAGTGTTGTTGTTTTACATGTTCCACTATGTTTCTGTTTACAGTACATACCTTGCTTTTCAGTAGGGAGCTGATGACAATGAAATTATTTGCTGAGGAAAATTCTGATGGTGGGCCTCTTTCTTGCCCTGTGAATGTTTCTATTTTCCCACATCACCTGTCTTCCTCTTTGGTAACTGAATAGATAGAAATTCTAGATTCTGGCATTCTTGGGGCTGGTTGTGAGGGGACTGAAAAATACTATTTATGTTGTTTCTAGTTCTGCATAGAAAATAAATCTTGATGTATGGTGCTGAGGGATGACATTGTCCTATGGCAGTCTTCCCTAATCTAATGGCCTGTAGGTAAATTGATTATATACGCAACACATTTCCTTTCTCTGTTAATACATGTCTGTGAATAGATAACATGTCCAGGCACATCCAAAACTGACTTTCTCTGTGATTCTATTTTACCTTAAAGATTTATTTAAGACTAATTAATTTGAGGGTGCTGGACAATGTGCAGCTAGATACTTTTAAACCATGGGTTTCAGGGCTTTATGGAAAGCCTTCTTTTAACATTTCTGTGTCTTTAAAGAGAAGCAGCATTTCTTTGCTGAAAAGAATAATGTATTTTAAAAGTCACAGTAATAAAACATGCTTCTAACATGATATATACCCAGTTGCCCCAGGATTAGTTGTGCAGCTGGAATGGAAAAATACTCCACTTGAAGGACCAGGTTTGCAGGCTGGGTGGGTCCCTCCTTCTGGCTTTGTTCCTAGATTATCAGATATAATCTGTGGATGCTTGGGCTGTGCTTGTCCTTAGAAAAAGCAAATCTAGTTCCTGTCATACGTTCCTTAGTCATAAGTAAATTTGATTCCTGCGATGGATTCTGTGTAAGTCGCCCTAGAAAATGTGAACCCAATATTGCCTGGATTTTTGATTATGATGGCTTTGTTACATCTGCACTTTGTTCCCACTGGGGTCCGAGCTGAATTCAAACAGCTGATCATTGCCAATGAATCCCTAATGGTTTTGCTCCAAGATTTTTGAAGGATCACTTTCTTCATCCAGATGAACCTTTTTTGCTTTGTGCTGAGGCACTGCTCTGAACCATCAGAAGTTCAGCTGACTGGGATGCGAGACAGGGCATTTTCCGATATGGTATCCAAGTCTGCAGAATTCCTTTTGCTAGAACTTCAGTAGGCTCCCCCACAAGTAGATTACCTATAAGTACCTTTTTATTGCATCTAAAATTTAGTCAATTAATCTAGTTCTTCTTCCTCTTCTGGCTATATTCTTACTTTTTGTCTTTTCTAATTGTATCAAAATGAACTTTAAACTTTTGCATGTGGACTTTCAACATGAATAATTCTAATATTTGCAACTATATACCTCAACTTTTAGTCTTAGACAGGCAGTACAAACAACAACCTTGCCCATCAGACCTTTAATATTCTGTTTTGTGTTAAAGAATCTTGAACTATTTTTTGTAATTAAATTGTACATTGCTTGGAGTGCTCTGATGAATTCAGAAATGTCACAGCAACAATAGCAACAATATACTTTCTAGAATGGAGAGAATTTATCATAGGTATACATTCAGAATAGCATTTGGGGGGACCATCCAGTTTACTTATGTCACAGAATTATCTACTTCTAGCAAATTGTTCTATCCTTAAAAGACTGAGCAGTCATACATACAACATTTAATGGCCAAGTAAGATGAATAAGCCAGTCTATGCTGCAACTGCTGTGAAGTAATAATATTGAGTATTGCACACTATGAAGTAATAATATTGAGTATTGCACACTATGATTTACACTTCTGTAAATGCTGCTGGAACCTGTTAACTATATATATTCAATACATGGAAATGAAGGTCCAATATGAACATCTCCAACATAATTTCTGGCTGCAAGGTAATACCAGTTATGATCTTGGCTCAAAAAGCACCATCATTCATTTTCCTTCCTTTGTTAGAAACCTCTGAGGGTTTCTTCTGTTCTTCTGATTCAAAATATAGTGGTTCTGGATTTTTCCTTTTGTAGGCTATAAGAAAGAAAAGTTGGAAGAGCTGCAGTAAGGCTTTTAGGAGCCACCCTAAATATTGAAACAAAATAATCTCGCAGAAATGTATTAGAGCTACTTCGAGCAATTCATATCTATTATTGCAGCTTCTTAGGAAACAGTTTTTGAGAAAGGATAGTGCTGATGACCAATAACAAGGGTGAGTAGAATAATTAAGAAGGCATTGTAGGCAAACAACTTGAATATGCATTGGTTATTGTCTGACATTGAAAAAAAAGTTTAGTTTCTGAAACTAAAAGGAGATGGAATTTAAATAGTCTAGCATTAGAGTTGAGCAACCCTAACAGTCTGATTCAACAAGTTTAAGACAACTGCTAGCCATCTACAGCGGATTTCCAGTTACTTAATAAATGCTATTTTTGCAATCCTAGGCAACAAAATAATGGAATGCTATTGCGCTCTGGTAGGTAGCATTAATTATTGTGAATTTTACATGGTGTAGGCCTGGTATAATAAGTGTTTGAATATCTGATGAGTTTTTTAGATAGTCAATGACATTCCATTTTGATCTTCTTCACCACTTCTGATCTTCTTCACCACTGAAAGTGAACTGCTGTAAGTGGAATATTGAACTGTTAGATCCAGGAGACTTGATATTCATTCCATGGAATCTTGTTCTATCTATTTGCATATTGGACCACCCCAGTTAGAGAAGTCTCCCATTATCTTTTATATTATTATCATCAACATCAACATCATCATCATCATTGCAACTTATTCTAAGAGATTTCATCTCACTGGGTGGAGTTGAACCTTTGGAAATTCTCTGGAGTTATTCAGAGGATGTTCAGCTAAGGAGACAGGTCCTTTTGATTCTCTGCCTGTGCTGTTTTTTCTTCATCTTACTCAAAGCTGCTCTTGAAGCCTCTGTGAATATGTCAATAATATTTTCATGGTAGAGGGCTGAGCATTCAAAATATGCAGCTGCATGAAGATTCCGAGCCAAGGCCTCCCCCTACAAGGAAAAGAAGATGAGAAGGGGAAAAAAGAACAAAATTGACATTATATCTTCTTAAAGTTAGAGCAGGATGGGCAATGTGTGGCCTTCAGGGCCTTGGGCCTCAACTCCTATCATCTTGTACCATTGGCTATTCTAGTCAGAGGTGATGAGAGTTGGAATTGAATAACTTCTAGAGGTCCCTATGCTGCTCGTTCCTGATTTAAGGGGTGGGTAGTATGAGTAAAGAGCAACATACTTACAATACTGTACTACAACAAAGCATAGATGGTATTTCAAGATAAGGATGAGATGGTAACCATTTGCCTATGTAGTTTCCAGCTATCAAGCCCAACTTGATGGGATCTGACTGAGTACAGTGGTACCTCTAGTTACGAACGCCCCTCCTTCGAATTTTTCAAGATACGACCAGCTCCGGCCCCAAAAATTTACCTCTACTTGCAAACTCCG